TCAGTATAGGTTAATAATCATTGCAGACATTTGCCGAATGTATGTGTTATGTGGTCCAATACTAACCATTAATATGCAGTCATGTATTCTTGATTTTTGTTCACCGTGGCCAACCATGGTTGGCCACGGTGGACAAAAATGCGTCTAGACGGTCAAAACGGGGACGGAAGTTATTTATGGTGCACATAATTCCTTTGATTTGATTGGCTTCGATTATATCCGGGCATATAATCCTCGCTTCCCATTGGTCGATTTATGGTGACCATTAATATGCAGTCATGTATTCTTGATTTTTGTTCACCGTGGCCAACCATGGTTGGCCACGGTGGACAAAAATGCGTCTAGACGGTCAAAACGGGGACGGAAGTTATTTATGGTGGACATAATTCCTTTGATTTGATTGGCTTCGATTATATCCGGGCATATAATCCTCGCTTCCCATTGGTCGATTTATGGTGACCATTAATATGCAGTCATGTATTCTTGATTTTTGTTCACCGTGGCCAACCATGGTTGGCCACGGTGGACAAAAATGCGTCTAGACGGTCAAAACGGGGACGGAAGTTATTTATGGTGGACATAATTCCTTTGATTTGATTGGCTTCGATTATATCCGGGCATATAATCCTCGCTTCCCATTGGTCGATTTATGGTGACCATTAATATGCAGTCATGTATTCTTGATTTTTGTCCACCGTGGCCAACCATGGTTGGCCACGGTGGACAAAAATGCGTCTAGACGGTCAAAACGGGGACGGAAGTTATTTATGGTGGACATAATTCCTTTGATTTGATTGGCTTCGATTATATCCGGGCATATAATCCTCGCTTCCCATTGGTCGATTTATGGTGACCATAAATATGATTTATGGTGACCATAAATATGATTTATGGTGACCATAAATATGTAGTCATGTATTCTTGATTTTTGTCCACCGTGGCCAACCATATACGTGTGCCCTCGCCCCGCGAATTGCTTGCTCTCTTTTGAATGAGATTAGCACGTAAGAAACAATTATTTTTATCACATAGACACTTTGAAATTTTAGTGGCCCGATCGGGCCACCAAATTTCAACTTTTGGAAATTTTGGTGGCCCGACATCAAGTTTTGGTGGCCCCGGGCCACCGGGCCACCGCTAGTGTCGAGCCTTGTATAAGGTTGGGATGACACGATCTCTAGCAGGTACCAATGCCATAATAAAAATATTGTTTGTTTGCCCTCACCCGACCGACCCACCAAAAAGGGGCTGACTCAAAAAATTTTATTGATATTTCCCATTCTTTTTTACAAATTGTATCACTGTACATTAAATAAATCTGTAAGCAATACAGTGTTCGAAATATAAGGGCTATCCATTTGTCCTCACTTGTCCATTGCCACGGAGGACAAGTAGACCTGTCCATGCAGTAGCTTGTCCGCTGGACAAGCAGCTTTTTAGAGCAACTTTTTAGAGAAATTTTTCATAATTTTCTACCATCGCTTGAATTAAATCATTGTGCATCTTTGTGTTCTTGCAAGTTTGGTGCCTAATGTGAACTGTTAGTGAACTGTATTAAAATTACAAAGTAAGATATTGGGTCTAAAGTTTAATTTGATTAAATGTATTACACATTTACTATATTTCTATGTTAATAATCAGGACAAGCAAAAATATCTTGTAGCTTGTCCGTCGGACAACCAATATTTTTTCCTTATTTCGAGCACTGTGCACAATACATTATATGTACCAAGCAAAACAAACATTCAACATAAGAGGTATCTCCATACAAGCACACCATGTTGACACCATGCTAAATTTGTAAAAAGACCCCCTCAAAAACAAAACAAAAGCATACCTACCTACCCAAACTTTTCAGCCTGGGTCGGGTGAGGGCAAACAGGGCAAGATTTTTTTAATTGTGGCCCAAGACTCTCTGGGAAATGGGTGGAGTATGAATTAGTGCAGCATTTAGCTGTTGATATGTTTTTGCAGCAGTAACGTCTTCTCAGCAGCTAACGTATACAGTAAGTAATGTGATGGATTATAGTTAGTTAGTTAGTTAGTTAAGAATAATGGTTAGTAATAGGCCTAGCCTAATGTGTCACCCATATCTGGCGATTTCATGAATCGTTCGATTCTGGGTCTATAGCCGTGTATAATATAATGCACCTGACGTTACTTGATAAATGGGGTGATGTGCCGTATTATACTAGCCTGCCTTGTGCCTGTGGCAACGCGATGAAAAATTCGTCAGACCATTTTTTGGCACGCCCAGCAGATTTTTCCTCGCCTGCCGGAGCTCGCTTTTGAATTATGTAAAGTGTTTTATGTGACAGTGTGGGTATCTAATAAGATCAAAATATCTGTTAAAACCTATTTAGAAAAAAATCACCTACTATCCCTATACTTATAGAGGCCATGATCAATCGTATGAGAATGAGCTCATTTAAAACACAAGATGATTTGCTTGCTGTACACACACACACGTACCCGCACGCACGAATGTACGCACGCCCTCCCTACATACAGCTCCACGAAGAATACTCACCAGGTGAGGATTGTTGTATCTTGTATCTTGGCTCCCTCTCTTGTATTTCACAAGGCATTCGATTACATCGAAGTGCGGGGATTATCTAGAGAAACAGAAGATTATTACTGCCTCTAATTCTCTAAATATTAGTGTTTCAAATCACCAGAATTTTCCACACATAAACTAACTCTAAAGTTAGATAGGGTTAATCTCTCGAACTCAGTGAGATAGAGAAGCAAACGACAGTGGGTGCAATAAAAATCTTTCCGGGAATTTCACTTTTTGCCGCCGCATTTGAGAAAATGAATAATACGTGAAATTGGTCTAAAACAGCTTCGTTAAACATGGACATGTACAAACTGTAGATTCCCTTTCCTCGGAATACCATAGCAGCCTTTCAGCCGTAACAACTAAAAGTAAGTATAACTGAATTGGAATTTAGGAACAATTAAATAGCAACTAGCAAGCAAGTGCTACATCATGAATATCTCCCTTCTGCGCAAAAAACATCATATGTAGTTAAAGTACATCTACCACATTGACGACTCTTCACTGCAGTATATGCCACATCCATCCCGTATCTTGGAATTCACCAAGACATTGGCCTCAGGTGGAACGTCCACATTGACAACATATGTGTGAAGGCCAACAGATTGTTAGGCTTCCTGCGCCGGAATCTGGGCTGCAGCCATCAGCTCATTAAGGAAAGAGCATACAAAACTTTTGTACTACCAAGCCTGGATTACTGCTCATCAGTGTGGGACCCACACCAAGAGAAATATAGATACAACTATAAGACGTATAAGCTAGAAATGATACAAAACAGATCTGCAAGATTTGTTACAAACACCTATGGACGATATAGCAGTACGTCAGCTCTTAAGGACCAACTCGGGTGGCAACAACTCATGAGTCATGTATCGTAGATGTTGTGCCCAAACTTGGAATCTTGCACAAACTTGGAATTTCAGCGTATCCACAGTTTGTGCAACCAATCTTGAGATTGGGCAAACAGAGGTAAACAGAGCTTGCACAAACATATGATTATTATGATTTCAAATGTTATATCATAACTATAAGGTCGTATACCTTCTTTCCTCAATGTGTTTGGCACCTTTGTATAAATATTAAATGATTATAATAAATAATTGGATAAATATGAAATAAATCTCTTCCTATAGTTTGCACCATGCACACCACACTCGCTATGAGCGGTTGTTGAATCACCGAGTCGACTGTTTTCAGTTTGCCCAATCTTGAGATTGGTCAGCCAAACTAGGGAATCCGCAGTTTGGGCAGCACAATCGCTGCACAATCTCGAGATTGTGCAGATTCCAAGTTTGGGTACGACATAGACGCTTTAACTCGAGTGTAGACTGTGTAGTGATGTATCATTGTATGTAAATCACCAGTCATAGCAATACCGGCAAATAGATATCTGATCCTTGGGGTGTCCAAGTAGTTAATGCCTCACTAAAACCATCTAGACAGTGTGCAGAAGCAGCAAAAAAGGCAAACAAGGTGCTAGGAGTCATCAGAAGGTGTTTTACCGACAGGTAGAGGCTCACCATTGTTCCCTTATACATGTCCTTGGTCCGCCCACACCTTGAATTTGCTATACAAGCTTGGAGACCATATTTGATAAAGGACATAGAGCTCCTTGAAAAAGTTCAGAGACGAGCGACTAAACTAGTGGAAGGGTTGGGTAGCTTGTCATACTAGCAAAGACTTCAAAGGCTGAATCTTGCTACTCTAGAGACGCGTAGAGAGAGAGCTGATCTTATCGAGACCTACAAGATTATGACAGGCTTGGAGAATATTGATCATAGAACATTTTTTTCACCCGCAATCCTGTCCACCACCAGAGGTCACAGCATGAAACTGTACAAAGAGCGCAGTCGTCTTGAACTACAGAAAAACATTTTCTCTCAGAGAGTGATTGACAGCTGGAACAGCCTTCCCCAACATGTTATTGCGGCAAAGGACGTGCTCTCATTTAAAATCGAATTAGGCCGCTATTGGACAGTTCAGGGTTTTATATAAGCCGCGCAAGCTGCCTAACCCTTGATAGCCATGCAAACACTTGATCAGTTGATGTGTGGCTGTACAGTACAATAAATACAGTGTCAGGTACCAGATCGGAAAAAACCCACATATTTCGGCACCTGCACTGCAACAACAACGCATTCAAATTCTCCTTTTTTCCCCGGATGATTCCAATCTGGAACAACCTTACCTAGGCCTAACCGTGGGTGTTGTGGAAGCAGCGGCGAGCAACGGATGTTGACATTTCTAAGTCAAGGCTTCACTCCCACATGCACGCAAACCCACTTTAAGAGGACACCAGTTGCATTGCACTCACATCATTATGCACCAGTTTGTTTATTGGGTTTATCCCTAAAGGCACTTACTACCTTGTCATTATATCCAGTGTAGTGGACACCAAAGACACCGACAAGTACGAGAACATAACATAACTTTCACCGCCAAACGCTAGGGCCAAAATATATACGCAATGTGTCGCCACCGCGTGGGAAATATAGTAACTAAACTTATGTTTTCAAGCTTGTCTTATGCTATATATTTAATGAAATGATATATCTGTAAAAACTTAGCTCAGAGTTTCTATCGATTTGAAAATTAATGTATGTATTATATTTTTTAAATAAGCATAAATCTTTTGATTCCCTGAAATAATTATTTTTGATAATGACGTCACGAATCGCGCTTCTGCTAGAAACTGCAGTTTATTGCTAATATTACAATATAAAATTCCAATTAAAATTTACCAAAGAGACATATATCTTCATATTACTTACAGATGGGGTTTTTATTTACCACAGTATTTAATAAACCTTGTAAATGTTTAGTTAAGAGTTTTCGTGACGTAATATTCGTCATCAAAATGGCTGCATTAATCACGTGACCTTTCTGCTTTTGTGAGCGCAGTTTCCAGGTAGATTTTTAGCTGCAAGTTTTAGTGGAATACTTGCGTATTAACAGCGTAGTTTAACATTTTATTATTTTCAGCTTATTTGTCAATACTTAAAGAATACGGCCAGTTAAATTTTAGTATTAAAAATCAACTGGCAGCAAAGAAAACATTGATTAAATATTTCGGTTTGGCGTGGTAAATTTGTCGGAATCGAATGGTGTGACCGAATACTGACATCTTGATTAACAATATCGTTTTCTGTTTCTATTATATGATTGTTATCATACTTTCTCATAACATATTTGTCGTCTGTTGCTTGTTATTGTGCTATTATTGAGGTTTCTACTATATGGTCAGCGTTATGAACTACATACTCAGTACAGTACATCAATACAATACTCAATACTAATTACTATACAGTCTATAGTCAATACTAAACAATACTCAATACTGACAATAGTAACAAATGTTGTTCTTTAACTTCTAGTTCTAAGTTCTAACGTACTCGTGAATGATAACAAAATTACATTATATCTATGTTAATAATAGCCTGTTGAAGACATTTGTTCTAGCACAATGCCACTGAAAAACCGAGTTACAATAGGCAACTTGTGATGTTCACACGTTCCAATCCGCGTCGGCGCATGTGTTGGACTTGAGTTGTGAACACTAGTTATTACTGATACTAGTCTTAATGAAGAGTTTAATTTTAAACGTTCTGCGTGGCAAGTCTGTAATGATGTGGTGTGGAGTATGTGGGGATCACAGGCACTTGGGACAGAGTCAGTAAAAATTGAAAATAATATGAACGCACATTCACAAATACTACTGTACGGTGTACCTCTCAATTACAGTTCCACTGTTGTGTCACTGTATATCAACTCTCCTTCATAAAAACTAACGTCAAACGCTCCCGCACTCGCCGCTGCGAGTGTGCTGTGTCGCCATGATAATATATATATAGAGAAGGTAGGAAACTCCGTTTGCGTGATTTGCGACGATCACTCCTCGATTCTTTCACATTTCACAAACATTTAACGCATCTACGACCTCCATCTTGGGCTCGTTCTGCTCTATAGTCCACTGAACAAAACTATGTAACTACCGTGGCTGAGAAGTGCAGCAGTCCTATGTAATCTGACTTCAAACACAGAAATTTTGCAGTTCGTGCCGATTCATCAAGACGATTCGCGAATCCGATCGGGCCCGGTGGCGTCGGGCGCCGCGGAGCCGTGATTTGTTTACTTGGATACCGGTGCCGATCGGATTTGTGAATCGTCTACAATCCTGATGAATCGGCACGAACCGCGGGACTTCTGTGTTTGAAGTCACATTACAAAGCAAGGTGGCACTTCTCGGCCACGGTAGTTACATAGTTTTGTTCATTGGACTATAGAGGGCAGAACGAGCCCAAGATGGAGGCAAACTCCACGACAGATGGCGCTCTCGCTCTGGCTCAATTCTACCACTGCCACAAGCTGATTTCCGTAAGAATTTCTTACGCTTTTTTACTATAGGTTTTACAGCGACCCCGTTACTCCTGGTCCTATGTGATACGGTGTTTACTTATAAAAGCTGCAAAGATAATAAAAGTCGGACCATTATTTCATGAGAAATTTGATAAAATAGTGATACGAAATAGTGCGCCCATTTACTACTTTCAAATCATTACGCTGTTTACTAAACGAAGTTCACGTATTTATCATGAATTTTCAGGATGCTTGCCAATATACCTAATTCTCGAACATTGTCTTTTATACATTTTTCCGTATTCAGCTTAAAACATCTAAATTTGTCCACCAACAAACATGCAAATCATAGAAATTTCTAATGTTTTGTTCGACGGCGACTTCGCGGCCGTTGGCTTGCCATTTGCTGGATTTCCCCGGAGCTCCGCCCACTGTAAAAATAGTGCTAGCATTGTGGCAGTGGTATATCCTGAGTGTGGGAAGGGGGCGCTGCATGCAGTTTGAGATGGAGGTTGTAGATGCGTTAAATGTTTGTGAAATGTGAAAGAATCGAGGAGTGATCATCGCAAATCGCGCAAACAGAGTTTCCTACCTTCTCTATATATATATATTATCATGGCGACACAGCACACTTGCAGCGGCGAGTGCGGGAGCGTTTGGCGTTAGTTTTTATGAAGGAAAGTTGATATACAGGGACACAACAGTGGAACTGTAATTGAGAGGTACACCGTACGGTAGTATTTGTGAATGTGCGTTCATATTATTTTCAGTTTTTACTGACTCTGTCCCAAGTGCCTGTGGTGGGGATCATCAGGATCCAGTTCCACAGACATGGATTAACTTTAACTTGGAGTTAGTAAACTCTGAGTTAAATTTGGGTTTCATAAACATGGATTAAATCCTGAGTTAAGTAACTCAGAGTTGAATGTTTTAACTCGGAGTTAGTATCCCATAATTCCACGTAGTTAGAACAGACAAACATGATAGACGCATAGACGATAGACGTATGATAGACGCACGAACATGGTAGTGTAATGAAAAAACGTTATAATGAAAACCGGCAGCGATAAATAAATGAGGGAAAATATTTTGCCAATGCGGGATTGAACCCGCGACGACCGCGTCATTAGCACGATGCTTTAACAGCTTAACCACAAGTCTTCAATGTTTTAGTTTGTATAACTAACCATAAGTAACATATTAAATTTAAAATTTATCTATGTATAAGTATTGTTTCATTAACGGTATGTGACTTATCCTAAGAAATATTTCTATTCAACTCCAATCCTGATCTAGCATCAGGCTGAGTCATATCATATCATTAAAATATTAAACGTGTCTTATTATGTATGTCAAAAACCAGTGGCTAGGATTTAATTACAAATGTGGATATTGCAAAAACTTTAAACAGGCTGTAATTAGAAATTGTTATTTAAATAAGCTTAATTAGTCTGTCACTCGTCACGAAATTGTCGAAAATTTATTCTGGACTGAAAATTTTATCACATCAACCGAGTGTAATGGAATTGCCAGATGGCTTGCAATGAAGTTGTCAGTCTGTTAGTGTGCGCATTTACTTTTGACTAGTTTCTGTGTTAGTGGTGAGGCTGTTTCACCACTACTAACACTGTAACAACTCTGACATCTAAAAGCACTGATGGTGCGCAGGCAGGCAATAACATGCTCAGTTCATACTGGTTGTCACGATTGTCACAATTCATTCATATTTATCTGAACATAGTTTGTGTAATTAAGTTATTTAAGCTACATTTGAATTGATACGATACATGCTTTGTCTTCACCAGCAAAGAAGCATGTTTACTTGTAGCATGCTTATAGTGGATTACCATGAGATTGAAAGATGTTATGATTTCGAAATTGCCATATATTGATTGTTAAGATATACAGCTTCGTTTGCATGCAAAAATTAAATGTGTAGCATGTATGCTTCGTGTCGGCGAATTCACACTAGATTTTCTCTTTATTTTGCAGATTTTCTTTTGTACATACTTCATTTGTATATACTGTATATCATGAGCACCACAGGCACCTCGCGTGCAAGTAGGTCGAAGGATCAAAAACCAACAAAGACACAGACACAGCCTAGCAAACCAGTAGGTCTGCCTCAGGTAAGGTTCCCGTGTAACTTTGGCTAGTGATGATCCACTGAGTTCACTCCGTAGTTGAACGATAAACGAAAAGTATAAAGCAATTTGTTTGATCACTTGCAGTATGTAATCTCACTTGTTTGTGTGTGATAAGACACTGACGTTCTGCCTCTATCATCGCCTAATAATTATCGGGTAACTGTGAAACATCGTGTAGTAAACGACAGGCGAGGAAAGATTTGTTTGGCTGCTCTCCTTGCGTTATTTCGTTTGTGTTTGTTCTTGTTTTGTGATTTGTCGTCTGCTCTTGTTATTCACCCGCGTGTAGGCGACTCCAGAACAGATACGTCAGGCGCAGATGATAACAGATTTAAATGAGGACCCAGAGTTGCAGCAGAAAATTAAACAGGTAATTTTCTTGTTTTTTCCTCGTGATTTTTCTGGGAGTAAGTTATGCAAATGCCGACTCGACAATTAGTACCCTGTTGCCACTTGAACGAATCATCGTTTTCGTGTTAATGGGCTCTCTTGGGAAAAAGACTAGGTACTACTACTAGTCTAAAATCTAAATGTCTCCGGATCTTTCTAAATGGCAAGTCGGATCGTACGTAGGACGCATTTTCAAGAAGCTAATTATTTCTTTGTGCACTCTGTTTTGTGTTAACTGTCGCTAACAGAATCGTAACTATGCTTAGAATGCGTGTGGATAGAGTTGTATGAGGCGGTTGGTCACCCAACCGTACTCATGGTGTGATACCTTGTTGTATCGTCTAAGTACGCTTGGGTAGGGATGTTTCAGGCGATGGTTGTTTAGCCATACTCATGCTCATGCGTGTCGGTTGTTGTATTGTACACAGGGCATGAAATTAGCACCAGCCCACTGGCATATGTTGACAAATTATTTGGAGGGCCAGTAACATTGGCAAAACACCGGCCCTCCGAGCCGGTGGTTTCACCCGTTTTAGCGAGTACCTACATTTTTAGCTCGCCTTGACATTGTCAATCTGAGCTATTGCCATGGGTCGTCGTTCGTCCGTCCGTCTGTCCGTCAACATTTGGCTACGGTCAGCGATAACTCAGAAACCGTTTGACCCACATGTTTGAAATTGGGTATTGTTGTTACTGCTATGCTCCCATATTAAACGTCCTATTTTGGAGCACGGCAGTCGACGTACTTTCGAGCCACGGCAATTTTTTGCCAAAAATGGGAATTGCCATTAGTCAGTTTAGGTTCAACGGATTTTGCTCATTTTTAGCTCACCTTGACATTGTCAAGCTGAGCTATTGCCATGGGTCGTCGTCCGTCGTACGTCTGTCCGTCCGTCTGTTCGTCAACATTTCGCTACCGTCAACGATAACTCAGGAATCGTTTGGCCCACATGTTTGAAATTGGGATAGTTGTTACTGCTATGCTCCCATATTAAACGTCCTATTTTGGAGCACGCCAGTCGACGTACTTTCGAGCCACGGCAATTTTTTGGCAAAAATGGGAATTGCCATTAGTCAGTTCAGGTTCAACGGATTTTGCTCATTTTTGGTATGTGAATGAATAAGGGGTAGGGGTTTTGATATTAAAAAAAATATTATGCAAATTAGGTATGGTTTGGCAATTATATAGCATATTATATAGACACAAACAGTCTGTGGTGTCACACTCGTCTGGTTTCTGAGGTATGGTTTATCCCGCTCTCTGCATGGGATATTATTACGCGGTCAGCGCCGTGCGTGAATCGGGGATCACACAAGGGGTTGGCTTGGGGGCTTAATAAGGGAGAGCAGCGATGCAGCGCGTATTGGAGGCGAGCTGACCGTAGATGTTCATTAGTGTTCACTCAGGACGTTGGCGGCGACGGACAACGGACGAGTCGCCAGCGAGGGGAGGCAGCCGACGGTGGTGCGGTTCAACAAAACACATCCGAGGCCGACGTGGACGTCCGACGCAGCAACATACCTGAGCAACGACAAGCGTCGCAATGACATCAACGACACAGTCGGTAAGCCTAGTCGCCATCGACCTCTTTTTCTCCCTCCGCGCCTCGTCTCGTGCGTACTATATCAATCCTTCTACCCTGTGTGAATGTCCGTGTACCGCGCAAGGGAGATTGTGTCGGAGCCATCTGTTCCAGTGGTCCCTTTCTCAGGGGCGGGCTGCAGCTTCTGGGGGGTGCGTGTGGTGCCAGCAGCTGTGACAGACCACTTTGCCACTGGGATCCATTCAATCCGTCTTCTGGTCTATCTCTTTCTTTTCTCACGTCTCGTTGCTCCTCACATTCAAGCGCCATCCTCGAGAGGTTACGCCCTCGCTTCCTGTCTCGAGCGTCAATGAAAATGTGTCTGTTGGCAAAACACAGCTGAGACCCGCGGCGCGATGCCTTGCGCGTCTGTGCAGACACTATTTCCGTAGTGCGAACGGAGCGTCAACATTCACACAGACAGAGAGCGCGCGACCACGATGGGTCGTCGCGCGGTCCGGCATCTCCTGAGGCGATAAAAATGAGATCCGAATGCGTATAAAAAATAGAAGCTGAAAATGACTGTAGAGGCAGAATAAGCCAAAGGGGAATAGAACTCGCAGAAATGTGTCAGCGGGCAGAGATAGGCATGCTTTGTTTACTTGCGTATGATCTTCCGTAACGGGCGTCTGAATTGGTGATCCGCCACCACACCCCACACACACGCAACGCAGCAGCACGCGCCGCGCGCGCGGGGCAGCGCGCAGCATGTATCGTTCGCTTTTCAGGGTATCACACGAGCACCAGCAATGGATGATGCATAACGACAGTAGACAGCACCAGCACGCAACAGCACACGAGACCAACACACAACGACTCGTACGATCCATGGCCAACCAAACGATCACCCTGCCGAGTATCTCAGGAACCATGCACATCGTTCATACAAGACTTTCCCAAGACGTACATGTGCAGGGGCTCGACAGGCAGGAGCGACAGTGATGTAGACATATATGCTTCGCCCATAAACAGATGCACTGTGTTGAACCAGTCTTGATGTTCGGTGTCACGACCACACACACCATCAGTGTTCATTCACACCACCAACCACAACAGCCTGTCCGCCTGGTGTGTCATGTACCCATACCTAACACACATACCCGCACAAACTGGTCTGCTTTAGCCACTCGAATCTACTCACACTTCTCTATCCTCCTCTCTCTCGTCTCTCTAACATCTATTTGCTCGCGCATTGACAGCCAGGCTACAGTTTACAGAGAGTTTTGCCCAGGATCATGTTTGAGTGTAGAATTTCGTAGAAAAAAGGTGTGTGTGGGATCCAGGTAAAAATATTGGGCGTATTATGATTTTGACATCAGAAGTAAGTTTTTGTGTCACTTGACAAATGCCAGTTATACGAGTTATGCGTCAATCAATATATGTTGTGATTATAGGTATGGTAATAGTGCAAGTTTCACGATGTCCAGGCTATGTTTACGTAAGTGAATCTATAGAGTGGTAGTGAGTTTTTCATGGGTCATTCTCACTGCTAGTGATCTTAGTTCTTGCGCTGTCATTGCGATGATTTTGCACGACACGGTCGTTTGAGTCGAAGGTGTTTACTCCCCACGGAGCGATCTGCCAAAAGACCACAGTAGATCAGCGAACAGCATGGTCGGGAAAAAGGTATCATCTCGTGTGTTGGTATTCGTCCGCTCGCACCCCCTGCAGTTGTCCAAGTGCCTGTAAAGCGTCAGCAAGCGAGTTGTTTAGCACGAAGGGAGAGTTAGTGTTTGTCCTCCATCAAGGTCGTGTGATGTGCAGTCTGCCGTGTTTCTACCATGATCGATTAGCTTGGAAATCAGAAAGTAAGCGTAGATGTTGCGTCGAAATGAGATTGGGCAATAAGTCTAGCATATAGTATACATTGAAGGTAATTTCCTAGCAATATCAGTTAGTGGGTTTTTGTTTCCAACGCAGTCACTGTAAGCGATTTATTACTCAATCGCTTGTCTTAAACAATGAACTCTAGAGTGTAAATTACAGAACGAACGTGATGTATAGGTTATTTTACGGTGTGATTGTATTTGTTTGTCTTAGCAGCATCAGACTTGGAGTCGTATATTGCCATCAAGAGGCACATGGGTACCAGCTTAATGGCTGACCCCCACTTTATACTGCGTGCAGCCGCAGTCTCCAACTAATGAACCAGTTCAAGCTCACAAGTCCCACAGCGACAACTAAACAATGTCAGCTGTTGGGGTGTAAGTCCTTCCTGCAGTCTTGTTAGTGTAGGTTAGAATTGTTTTTGTCTGAAATTCAAGAATACTTTGTGCGCTAGGGTATGGATCAGCGCGTGTTGTGTGCGTGATTCGGCCAGTCCCGAACTTATACCCGCTGCAATGTTGCGGTTAGGCGCTGAAATAACGTAATTCATGCCTACTGAAAATATGTTGGCCCACGACGCGTCAGGACCAGTAACTCTATCTACGTCGGACGACGTACTGAAATACACCACGACAAGACGCAGCCTGTCTATAAAGGTCATGCGGAGAGAGCTGGCCCCGTTTATAGGGGACACGGCAGGCTAAAATTCGAGCAGGGTCGCTGCTACTACCGCGGACAAGTGATGGACGATGCGTAATGATATTAATCGCTCCGTCGGACAGTTTTGGTGCAACCAGTGGCGCAGCGCGCCTCGGACGATGGGGCGGAACACTGGCGTCGGATGCCGGGCGATCAGCCAGAGTCGAGTCCATTCTACGTGATGGCCGGAGGCCCCAGGCGACCGCGGCCGCACAGATGCCCCGCGCACAAGTCTATTCCGCCGGCAGGCCGCCTCCTAAGCCAGCGCAGGCAGCAAGGCAACAGCAGGGCAACGCAGCTACGGCGTCCGCGGATGACAGCGTCGCAGGCTTCAGCAGGCGCCGGCAGGAAAGACAGCAGAAGGACGCGGCTGCCGCCCGCATCCAAAGTGAGTTTGCGTTGGTACTTGGGTGTGTGTGCGCGTTCTGGCGTGTGTCATAGTGGACGTGTGCATGTATATCTTCGTGTGTGCTCATATTTATATAGCTATGCAGTGAATCCATGTTTACACCTTGGATTTTGTCTTCCAACTGAGGTTTCATGTGAAAATATTCGCATGTCCAGATGGTTGGTGAACTTGGCAAGTTGGCATATCTCTCTCTTTCTCCTTTGCTTTTCTATCCCAGTCTCTGTCTCTCAGTTTGTCTCTCCTGCCCTCCTCCTTCTCTCCCTCTGCCTTTCTTCCCGCCTCTATCTCCCGCTCTCCTCTCTCTCATCTTTCGCGCCTTCGCTGCCTCCTTTGTCTCTCTCCTTATCACCCTTTCATCTATGTCTCTATTTGTATCTCTGCTCCCTCTCTCTCGCCTTTCTCTATTCTTTCTCGATCTCTCTCTTTCTCGTCTCTCTATCTCTCTCTCTCTCTCTCTCTTTT